CCCCCCCCCCCGAGTTGGCCCGACTGCGCGTGCGCCCCGAGCGGCTGGCAGACGACAAGCACGGGGCACGGCACGGATGGCACGGACGGGTGGCGGGGGCACGGGAGAGTCCACGGAATATTTTGAATTTTGTCGATTCTTGTGTGAGAGGTCAATGGTTTGAGTGACATTGTAACAGATGTCCAATGGGCACCCACTGTCAAGGCAAATTACACAGCCAGCTCTGCCATTAAAATACGCTTTGAAGGGACGAAGCCCTACTTTGAGAGGTTATGCTGTCAAAGTGTCAGTTTGATTGATTTTGTTGACTGACTAGTTTAAGGTAAATTGAAAACTGCGTTTGAAAGAGTTAAGGTCGATAGTATCAGTTGAGGGCCAGTAACAATAACAATGATAATAATAATAACTATTGAAGGTGACTTCTATATTTGTTGTTATGTTATGTTTAGTAAAGAAATAAGGTTGACCGATTATGTTTAAGGGGAATTGGATTTGAAATGTAACCTTTTTTTTCTTCTGACCAAGCTAATTTGAAATAACATATACCTGTAGGAATATTTTGCGAGCACAGCAATGACACTCAATACCTTTCTATTGGCCCAAAAATATAGTTAGCGGATTCAGAACTCAACTTGTAATGGGACTCTTCCTACCACTATGTTTGTCAATGTAATCAGAGATAAGGCATCTTAGAACTCCCGTTTTTTCTGTGTGCAAAGTCTTTTTGGATTTGAGTTTGAGATAAAAGATAAATCTGTGTTTTACTTGTACTTTTAACTTTACTTCAGACAAATTCAGCTTTTCAGCAAGTGTGTCATTCCAATCTGACTTTAGGCCTTCTGTTCTAGGTACTTCTGTTACACAATGCCAATCAAGAAGATTTGTTGCATTGGTGCTGGTTATGTTGGTGGTCCAACATGCAGTGTAATTGCCCTGAAATGTCCAGACATTACGGTCACTGTAGTGGATCTAAGTCAACAGCGCATTGATCAATGGAACTCTGATAAACTGCCAATTTATGAGGTAAAATTGAATTTACATCAGTTAATTTTTAGTTTGTGAAGCGACCTGTTGTCTTACCCTTTGTTTCATTACTGCTTATTTCTTACTTATAACAGCCTGGTCTGGATGATGTGGTCAGACAATGCAGAGGTGTCAATCTGTTTTTCTCTACCGACATCAATACTGCCATCAGAGAAGCTGATCTCATTTTCATTTCTGTCAATACCCCTACTAAAACATTTGGCAACGGAAAGGTTTGTTGATCATTAGATTTTATTAGTCTGATTTGGCCTGTGAGCTGTCCAGTTCATGTTTTAATTTTGCCTGTTGTTATGCAGGGAAGAGCTGCTGATTTAAAGTATGTAGAAGGGGCAGCCCGAATGATTGCAGAGGTAGCAGACTCAAGCAAAATTGTTGTTGAGAAAAGCACTGTACCTGTGAGGGCAGCTGAGAGCATCAGTAACATTTTGACTGCAAACACTTTTAATAAACCTAATGTGAAATTCCAGGTAAGTTTTGTTTTCCTTTTTACCAAATGTAAGTTTTTTTCTTTTATTGTTGCCTGTGCTTTGAAATGAAATTGCTCTTGTGACAGATTTTATCAAATCCTGAGTTTTTGGCTGAAGGAACAGCTATAAACGATCTCCTATTTGCTGATCGGGTCCTCATAGGTGGAGAAGATAGTGAAGAAGGTCAAGCAGCTATTGAAGAACTATGCCAAGTTTATGAAAGATGGCTTCCCCGCAAAAACATTTTAACCACAAATACATGGTCTTCAGAATTGTCAAAGCTGGTGCGTGTAAGATTTGATACAGATAATTATTAATCTAATCTGTTATTTAATTCCATAACACTCATGTACAACATACATGCTTTACTTTATAGGCAGCAAATGCATTTCTTGCTTCACGTATTTCAAGCATAAACTCCCTATCAGCAGTGTGTGAGGCCACAGGAGCTGATGTGTCAGAGGTTGCACGTGCAGTTGGTCTAGACAGTCGTATTGGTCCCAAGTTCTTACAGGCATCAATAGGTGAGAAAAATTCATCAAAATTCTTTCTTGTTTGTAAACTTTTATAAAATTCTTATTTATGGTTTTCTTTTTATTGCAAAGGATTTGGTGGAAGCTGCTTCCAGAAGGACATTTTGAATCTAGTTTACATTTGTGAAGGTTTAAATTTACCTGAGGTTGCTACATATTGGCAACAGGTATGTATCTAAAAGTATATTTTTCCCATAGTTTAGACAGCCTTTCCAGCTAAAATTCCAAGGCATACTTACATGCTTTTTTATGAACTCTGTTCCAGGTCATTGACATGAATGAGTACCAAAAATCCAGATTTTCTGCAAAAGTGATTGAATCTCTCTTTAATACTGTGACAGATAAGAGAATCACTCTGTTAGGGTTTGCATTTAAGAAAGATACTGGGGATACAAGAGAGTCACCTGCCATTCATGTGGCAAAAACACTTTTGGATGAAGGCGCCCAACTTAGCATTTATGACCCAAAGGTACAGTTTCAGCCTAGATTCTTATCAATGAATCATTTATTTATTTTTTCTGTGGCTGGGTCTATGGTCAAGCTTTAATGTATGCTCATGGATTGATTGTGTTATGCTCTTTCTATTCTAGGTAGAGCACAGTCAAATACTGGATGATTTGACACATCCTTATGTGACTGATGAACCAGAACAGGTGAAGAAATCTATAACAATCCATTCCGATCCATATGAAGCAACTGCTGGTACACATGCTATTGTAATTTGCACAGAATGGGATGAGTTTATTGTAAGTTGCCATAACGACTTTAAAGCTTTTAGCATTGTATCTTTAATCTGGAGCCTCTTACTAATGGCATTAAAATTTTCTATTTCAGAGCTATGATTATGAACGCATTTATGAGGGCATGATGAAGCCTGCCTATGTATTTGATGGAAGAAAAATTCTAGATCATAAAAATCTGCAGAAAATAGGATTCATTGTTCAAACAATTGGTAAACGCCTTGTCCGTAATAGTCCCAATAGAGTTTGGGGTAGTAAAGTCCAAGCATGATCTACAACATATTGATGGAAAAGTTTTCATGGAAGATAAACATGCTGTGCCGCTTTGCATAAGTAATTCTGTTTAGACTATCTGACTCAACAAAACAGTTTCATTACACTTTTGTCTCAGTGAATTACCTACATCGATAGGTAACTTGGAAAAATTCCTTGAAATCTTACTGTAGATTTCACAATTTGCTCAGTTAAAAGATAAGAGGTACAGGGATGCTAACATTTAATTTTTTTCCTAGTAATGATAGAGTAATGAAATTATTTTAGGCACATTTTTCTCTTTTAATGTGGCAAGAGCTTGAAAGTGATTGATAACATATTCATATCTTTCTTCCTTTTTCTTCACTGCATTTTTCAGGAAATTTGATTTTTTTCACTTGAGGAATTGTTGCTTATTCCTTTGTTGTTGTTTTTTAGTTCTCCCCTTTTTTTCTATTCCATAAAATGCCTTTGAACAACCCTTTTCCTTATCTTTGAGCTGTAACAAATGTACTACAGAATTATAGATATTGTTTTAGTTAAGTATGGTAAGACTTTCCTCCACTACTATAGACAAATTACAGTGCATGAAAAAAGGAACATCTTATATGCCTTATCATCTTTCATTATTTCTTTTGAATGGTTTGTGAGTTATGATTTTTATCTGCTTGATAATTACAGAAGATTAGTTGACTGAATGGGCCCCAGCCTTCACACTATCTCATGTTGTGTGACCTTATGGCATTTGACCTATTTGGTGACCCGTACTTATAATTACAGGCTGCAGTGAGTCATTAAGATTAAGACCTCTTGACCCCATTAACAAGTGAGTCGAATAATTTTGTTTCATTGATGAAACTATGCCTTCTGAGATAGGAGTAAAAAAGATGTCAAAGACCAACAATTATTTTATTGTAATTTCCTTTCTTTTTATCAATTTGACAAGTTCTTTTTTAAAAAAAATCATTTTTATTACCCAATAAAGGGTATTTGTAGCTCATATCACATGTAGTATCATTGTCTTATGTAAAATTTTGACCAACAATTTTGAACAATTAATTCATTTACCTTTTAAAATTAGGGGGAGAAGGATCTGACAATGCTATCTTATTCTATGCTTCATATTACATGTGAATGTCAAACATTTTTATGTATGTTGATTCTAAATTGCATGTTTATTGTAATTGGGACGGGATTGTACTGTGATTTTTGAGATTGCGTTTGTTTTATGCCCACTGTCCTAATACCTATTTATTGTATCTCATTGTTTTCCCTACCAAATAAGTATTATGCTATGTTCTGTTAAATGTCAATTTATGAAATATGCTTTTGTATTATTTATTTATTTTGAGGAAAACTTGTTTCCAGAAGACTATTCTTCCTGTTATGTACTCTAAAGTTTAAACTAAGATTACAAGTCACATTGTTCTTAACTATATCACCAGATCATTTTTTAAGGTGCTAATCTTTTCACTCATGTAACTTTGGTCATTAAGAGAATTTGAACGCGCACATCTTTTGACTGTTAATCTTTTCCTTTTCGATCCTGGTTTATCACCTTTATCACTTTGCCGCCACCCACCGGAATCGGAAAGGCCTCTTAGGAGAAGGGCAGAACACACCTTTTAAGGGATCTTGTTGGCTGAGTTAGTTTCCAAATTTTTTCATCGCTCATTCCATTGTTCACTGATTTTATATTACATCTTTTTCTAAAACAAACACAATAATTACATTTTAAATTCACTTTAGCCAGCTTGGCCTTTCGCTAGAAGTTGGCTCTGTTAGGTTGGCAGCAACGGGCGGGAACAAGCGGGAACTCGGCTTCGTCGCTTCGTCGCGTGTCCGGCGTGTCCAAAGTCGTGTTTTTAGGAGATATTTTGAACTCAGCGAATGATTTGGAATCGGTCGGTGGCCGCCGCCCTTAATTCATCGGATATTTGCCGATCTACCCTGGACATCATGGACGACTCGTCGACTGGTGGTGAGTTACCACTGGGGCGTTGTGAGGTGGGCAGTTAGATGCGGCATGTTCCTCCCGCGGTTTTCTTAGACGGGTGAGGTTACGACCGAAGATGACTGCTGCGTTCTACACGGTGCGCCTCGCCGTGTGCCCTTGTTCGCGACCTCTGCTCGATGACGATTATTATTTATTGCATCTTCCTGGCCAATCGATTGGCGGTTGGCCGGTGGTTTTCCGCCACCACCCCCACCGGGGGGACTACTAGGGGGGGTGCTTCGCAGGACGCCTCAGGGCGGGTCAGGCGGGCACGGCGGCGCGGACGCGAACTGCAAGTTGTCGCCCCTAAATCCCTGTGTCGCCGTTGGGGAGATCGTCCAGTCTGATCAACTCGCTGCCCCGACCCCCGCACCGCCGGGCACTCATATAAGGCCCCTCCCGCCCTCCCCCCCAATGGCCGCAGGGTCATTTACGGAGCGCCCCTCCGCCGAATGATTAAGGGCCGTAGCCGAGCCGTAGTCCAGTTAGTTCCAGCAGTCACCTTGTCCTCAATGACACTGCTCTGCTCCCCTTACTCCCCTGCTGCCCGTGGAGCCGTTTACAACCCCCCCCTCCCCACCCCCGCGCCGGCCTGGCTGGACGGAATAGGCTACAATTACGGGACGAGTTGCGTTTGGGAGAGAAGAGAGGAGGAATGGCGCAAGAACAAGCGCTCGCTGATTGGCGGATAGCGGGGCTGAAAGCACTGGGAATGAGGGGCGCATCGCCTCGCCGCGCAGCCGCGCAGCAGCAGTGCTGCGTCGTTTGCTCTTCCGTCGTTGTTGTGCCCTTAGTCCCGAAACCTTGCTGGAGCAGCGTCTCGCAAGTCTGTTAGAGACAGGATAAGTACTTTCGCGCGGCTACGCCTCGACCATCCCTACAGGGATGGGATCCCGTCGACGACGCCGACCAACGCGCCGACCCCCCCACACCAGGTTTGCCTCGATGACGGCGACGTCCCCTATGATCCGCCCCGTGAAACGCCGGCGAATGGCACGACAGTAGCAAACACATTGTAGTGTCGTGTAAGGTTATGGCGCTTCAAAGGAAGGATCACGTTCGCGTCTGGTTCAACATTTCCCAGTGACGAACACGCGTTTCGTGGCGCGGGAAATGAGAGTCGCCCCCCCCCCTCCCGGACGTAGCAAGCTTTTGCGACGGAAGACTGCGGCGGTCGGTAAAAGGAAGTTTGCCCGAGGTTTCCCAGGACATTTTTCTTTTGAAAGGCTATTTTTTTTTCAAGGACACGAGGAGAAGGAGGAGGGGGTATTTCGTCCGCGCAGCGCGCTCCCCGCGACACAAAGGCCTCGCGGCGCTGTTCACTCCGCGGCCGGGCGGGGCGGGGCGGCACTCATCACCATCGCTCATCTCTTCTTTGTGTCGCCGAGCGCGGGACGGGCCGGGCCGCGCGGGACCCCCCCCCC